TCCCTCCTGAAAACCTGATGCGGAGTACTGGTGAACTTGGATGGAAAGGATCTTCAACCACCAGTGCATTCCGACCTGCAGAACCCCGAAGGAATGTAGAAGCATCTCCCAATACAACAGATGCACCTATTGTTGATACTGGTTCCAGCAAACAAGTCCGCCCTCCTCTGGACTTTGACTTGAATGTGCCTGATCAGAGAGTTTATGAGGAAGTTGTTCAAAACTCAGATGTAATGGGTTTCAAGTCTGGATCTCGTGATCGGGGCTCCGGAGGGCTTGATCTTGATTTGAATAGAGTGGATGAGAGTCCTGATATTGGGTCGCTTATGAGCAACAGTTGTAGGTTGGATATTCCTCCTTTGCCCAGTAGGTCATCATTATCTGGTGGACTATCTAATGGTGCGGTCAACGACTCCAGAGACTTTGATTTAAACAATGGGCCAGGTCTTGATGATGTTGGCACTGACACAGCTCCTTGCACCCAGCATTTAAAAACCAGTATGCCGCCTCGTACTCCTGTTCATGGTTTAAGAATAAACAACCCTGATTTTGGGAACATTTCAGCATGGTTCCCTCCAGGAAACTCATATTCTGCCATCACAGTCCCTCCAATGTTCCCTGGCAGGTGTGAGCAGAGTTACGGTGCTGCTGCTGGGTCTCAGAGAGTTTTGTGTCCTCCCACTGGTAATGCCTCATTTGGTCCTGAAATCTACAGGGGGTCAGTGCTTTCGCCCTCAACTGCTGTGTTTCAATATCCAGGGTTTCCTTTTGAAACCAGTTTTCCTTTGTCATCGAGCCCCTTTTCTGGTTCTACTGCATATATGGATTCATCATCTGGTGGAGCACTTTGCTTTCCCCCCATGCCCTCTCAGATGGTGGGACCTGGCGGTGTAGTTTCATCCCCTTACCCTAGACCCTATATGATGAGCCTTCCCAGTGGTAGCAGTAATGTTGGCCTTGATGGTAGGAAATGGGGTAGTCAGGGTCTTGATCTTAATGCCGGGCCTGGAGCTACAGAAATTGAACGGAGAGATGATAGGTTACCTTCAGGAATGAGGCAGCTTTCTGTTCCCAGTTCGCAAGCTATGGTAGAGGAACAGTTAAAGTTGTTTCAGGTGGGAGGTGCATTGAAGAGAAAGGAACCTGATAGTGGATTGGATGCTGTTGATCGAGTTAGCTATAAGCCGCCTTCATGGCAGTAGAATTGTGGCACAATGCGGCAAACCTGTCAAGGCTTGGTGAGCTTTTCTAGCCTTTCAGATCCTAGTTATCAATGTATTTAAGTTCTTTATTTCCTTAGACAAGCAAGGAAACCCTTCGATGGTGTCACTACAGTTACTACTGCAGTAATTAAATTGAATTGATGCCATTCATCCCTAGAGATATCTTTTTCCATTCCCTTATGATTACAATCAGTTCAATTAATGATTTGTCCTCAATCGAAGCTTTGGATTTGATCCTGCTAAAGTTTCTTTTAATTTTAAAATTGTTTTCAAATTTTCAGTTAAATTCTTATTCTGTTTATTTTTCATAAAATGGTCTACTCCCCTAGGATTAGCGGAATATGACCTTGTCTTTACTGTAACTTGTAATTTGAAACCTGAGTTTCCATCATAATAAGAGGAGAATTGAAATTGAGTTTCCTTCCGTTCCAAATTTGGAAACTTCCATCCATTCCAGATTTGGAAACTTCCATCCATCTGCTTTTGTTGGTTGGGTTTTTGGTTTTTAATACGTTTTGATATAACTCTTCTTTGAAATTTTCTTGGAACACTCTTCCTAATGGTGAGCCTTTCTCGTTTCTTTCTTGCAGCACTTCAGGGGTTTGGATAGGAAACGTACAGGAGTTGACAAGTTGTTCACATGAACAGTAAAAAAAGGCTAAAGGGCAGGTGCACGCGTTCATTGCACGGAACACCAGTCCGTACCACCTCTTAACTTTGGAAAGCCCCCTGGGGTCCTGGAAGCAGTTATTTTAACTGAATCTGCTCCGATAGCCACTGCAGACAAGTTTTTCTGTGTAGATATCTAACTCTTGGAAAGCATCCTCGATGCACATGCCTAAAGCCGTGACATTGGTGCTCAATGTTTGGACTTGTGCCCGTTCAGGTACACACTGCAATCCCGATCCTTACTCGATCATATTTATTGGGGAGATTGGTTGTATGAACTCTCAGGCCGGGCCAAGGTCGTCATGTATTCTGTCATTAATTTTTTTTTTCTCTTCTCCAGTTGTTACATATATAGTTATTACTTAGTCAGGACCGCCGAATTTTGTTATCTTATCACATTCTGGTTATGGAAATTTGCACAGGCTGTCACCGTATTGTTTTTTCTTTCTTCCCCTTTGTATTATAAGTTATAACCCGAGTCTTGGGCAAACTAGAGATTGTTGGACAGAAACTTCACCTTTGCCGCATTTGATTCATTTGTATTACGAAATGCCTTTTGACTCGTTTGTGAAATTTCCATGGTGCTGCTGACAGGGTTTTATATAGTTTTGCATTTTTGACTACGAATCAGTACTCCCTAAATTCTGTTGTGTATGGTGGGTATAATTTTGTTTTACTAGTTATCTTCTTGTACCTGTACTGCGAATTGTAATTCTGGTAACTCCGGTTGCAGCGTAATCGTAAAGATTATGGGTAGACGGTGAATGTGCAATTAGCTCATTTTGTAACCCTTCACTGCATCGTTGTGCATTCCAAAATCTTTGTAACAATGTTCTGTTTCTGGCTCGAAGAATTCATTACCGTGATGTGAATGCAGATCATTTTTTTTCTGTTCGCCGGAGAATCACTTGTTTTGCAACTGCTCCGTTTTGCTAGTTGTTTGTACAAGCCTTTATCCGATCAGCCGTTTGCAGCCACAGAGCAGCGTTGCGTCGTGATGAAATGTATCGACTTGTATTCACCCCTCTTGTGGCGGAAAATGTCTTCATAGTTATTACGTCAAACAATTTATTCATGCGGTGCGTGCGTACGTTCAAATTTTTTTTTCTCTCCGAAAAAGTAAGCAAAGTCCTAGTGTAGGACACGTCTGTCAGATTTCAGTATCGAAGTAGCTTTAAGAACTAGGAGGGTCTTTGTCGGATTCTTCAATCACATCCATTTATCATTATATTTAATTTTAAATAAAAAATTTATAATAATTTTTTATCGTACAATGTACAATGAACGATGTGATTGAAATATTTCTAAATCCTCACAAAGAGGATCTGGTGAGATTCTTCATGGTTTAATAACAACTCTTTTAAGAACAAAGGTTTCAAATGTCAGTGTCTGGGAGAGGGGTTACAAATTTACCAAAACACATGTCGCTTTTATTTAACTGCATAAACTGGAGACACCTGTCCTGTCGTGTGAACGGTTAAGGTTTCGGATGGACCACCAGATGCGACCGAACCTAAGTGCCCAACACAATTAGTAAGGTGGGTCACACACCTCCCGACCAATTAGCTTGTATTGTCCGCTACTAAGAAAATTGACATAATATGATTTTACACAACTGACCAAAACGTATTGACGTAATATCGATGACACGTTAATAATTGTTAATCTGTCCATAATAAATGATTGGACCGACCGGCTAGTTATACGTAGCATGAATGTGATTCTTCTCATTGTACCTAATGTTTACAATTGATTTTGTTTGTGTTTTGCATTAATATAAAATTGTGGGGTATCCTTAATTATGTCATTTTTTAATTTTATTTATCATAATATATTCCTTGCCATTAATACGAGGAACCAAAGTCATATGAAGTTTAAAATATAATTATTAGCAAGGATAAATTTTTCAGTGTGACAGGAACACGATCTGGTATACGCAGCGTCATAATACAAGTGGTTAGAATTTTTTTTCAAGTATCCAGTCACTTATATTATGACACTTAGTGTATCGAGCTGTGTTACTCAGACACTGAGAAATCTCTCATTAGCATGGATGATGACTTTGAATGCGTCCTTAATTTGAATTGGTGTTTTTAAAGAAGGAAAAAAAAAAAAAATCCAACTCATGTAAGATAAAACCGGAGAAAATGTTAGTTGTAGATCGCTCTGGATGATAAGGGTTTCTTCGACTTGTTGCTCATTGCGTTTCAAACTTAAATCATTTTCATCCTCATAAGCCAACTTAAAGTAGTAATATCCTCTATAAATAAAAAATAAAGGTACATAAAAATGATTAAGATCTCATCTCATGCAATGCAACAACATCGGATCGGATAGTCATAGACATAGTCTTGAACCACAAAAATTTTGAAATTTTCAAACCCCCTTAAGGAGGAGAGATTTTTCAGTGCGACTGATACACAGGGTGATACATCACATGTTACTATATAAATGATAAGATATGTGTGCCAAAAAGTTAATAACTTAAAAAATAAAATTTCTCACCACTTCTATTAAAACACATAGTGTACCACTTGTTTTCCCGTCACAACTAAAAATTTCTCCTTAAAAAGGAGGGTCATAAGGGAATGGGACTCACCCACTCACAAAACTCGATTGGGTTTTTGCCGCGTAGCGCACATGATTGGTCACTTTTGTCATCGAATTGTAAATTAGTGTCGACAGAAAGTGAAATTTGTGGGTGGAATTAGATTGCGCCGAACATTCTGGGCACATGCATGTTCTCTCTCTCTCTCTCCCCCCCCATTTCAGTTACTCGTTTGCATGGTTTGCCGCGTGTTTTAATCTCCACGGCGGACGTTACTTTCCACATAAAGCCATCTCTTCTTATCTCTTGATTTCCAAACTGCCATTCTTTTGTGGAAAACCCTAATTACAAAGCACAACCACACGCTAACAATTCAAGTTATTTTTGTGTCTTACAGTCTAATAGTTCATATACTGTTTACGGAGTAGGCATGGAGTTTCTTTCTACCTGAATTGTGAAACTTTTAATACTTTATGACGCAATGTGAAAAAATCGAAACTACAAACATTTGAAGCGTTGTGTGGTTTTTGACCTTGACCTAAAACTCGAGGTGTATTTTGTAATTAGCTCAATCAAAGAGCAAAATAAAAGGAAAGTAAAAGCTCATCATGAGCAAGCAGAAAACCTAAAAGGGAAGTAAGAAAAAAAGATCCTCTTTGGCTCTCTCACAAGGCACGTTCCCTTTTCTCTAATGATGGGAATACAGTTTCTGCACTCTCTACCCCTTATAATTTCTTCTTCATAGGTTCTCCTCCCTCCTCTCTCTCTCTCTCTCTCTCTCTCTCTCTCTCTTCTTCTATCTGTTTCTGACAGTCATGAGTTTTTGTACTTTTTTCCCAGAAAAATCCCACAACTACCCCAACAGGGAGAGAGGCCATAATAATAACATGAGCAGATTGGCTCCTTTCTTGGTCGCATTTCTAGCCACTGCCACCATTTTTAGCTTGTTCGTACTCTATTCTCCAAACCCTTTTTTAATTTCTCCCAAACAGGGCCTTAACGATCTCAATTCTGTTCAAAACCAGACATCCATTCATGCAGCACAGAAAGAACATCAAGCCCCTGATCGCACTAACATCAAGCTCCTACCGCCACCAAGTAACTTTTTCTTGTCACAAACAAAAACCAATTCTTCTTCTTCTTCTTTTTTTTTTTTTCAAAAATTTTGGATCATTTTCCGAAAAGTTTGATTTTTTTTGGATTTTGTAGAGAAGGAAGAGGAGTGTGATTTGTTCAAGGGTCATTGGATTCCGGATTCGAGAGGAGCAATGTACACGAATTCGAGCTGCGCCACGATTCCGGAATCAAAAAATTGTTTCAGAAATGGGAGGAGGGACAGGGATTTTCTGAATTGGAGATGGAAACCGGACAAGTGCGAGCTTCCGCGGTTTGACCCGAAAACGTTTTTGGAAATTGTTCGGGGAAAGAAAATGGCGTTCATCGGCGACTCTGTCGCCAGGAACCATGTCGAGTCTCTTCTCTGCCTCTTGTCACAGGTCAGTTCATATTTTGATATTTGATTTGATATATGTTTTTCTAATCTGATGTTCTAAATTACTCTAATTTATACCTACTGAAAAAAAAGAATTTTACACGGAATTCAAACTTAGTGTAATGTCTTGACCGGCTGGCCTAATCCAGATCTTTAGTTGCTTTATTAGAATTTTATTTTTGAGTGTGACAGTTTTGCATGACCTTGAAATCTGAAACTTATGGAAGAATAATCCGAATACCGGTGGATAAACATTAAACAATATAATTTGCAACGATGTTATACACGTAAACCATTCATAACATAATAAATGACATCAATCGCAATACAAATGGCAGCAATGTGATTTCACTAACATAATAGCAATAATAGTTTGCAAATGCGGATTAGGTCAATTGATTTGGACAATGTGTTCATTCTCCTTGTACTCGAATTTGAATCTCATTCCGCAAATTAAAGTAGTTTAGAAACATTGTGACAACTTTGCTTGGTGCTTTATGCTTTGAAGCAACGTCACAATGTCACAGTGCCACAAATGCCATGTATGCAGATCATTACCTTTCGTGCTCGTCTCATTTTTGGAGTGATGACAAGCAATCGTAGTGGTTCAGAATTTAGAGGGGATACTATATTTGCAACAATGTCCACTCATTCTTACGGTGGGGATTATAAGCTACTTAATTTGATGTTCTTAACAGTCAAGAGATTAAGGATGGCAACGAGGCGGGACAAAGCCATGTAACAAATTAACATTTTTGTCTCGTCATGTGTATGGAACTCGTGAAGCATTCAGGCTCCACGGGTGTCATCATAGTCAAGACCACTCCTTTTACAGAAGTGTAGTGCCTTGCTATATTGACATACCATATATGCAATAGTTCTTTATTCAAATAAGTTGAAATGACAGATTACGCTTTAGGAGCATGTACAAAGATTTTCTAAACCCTAATATTATTCCTATTAATCTTGCAGGAGGAAAACCCTAAAGACATTTACAAGTATTCCGATGACCGGTTCAGGATATGGTACTTTCCTCAGTACGACTTCACCCTCATGAAATTATGGTCCAAATATCTCATAGCTGCAGAGGAGAGGATGGTTAACGGTTCAGGATCCGGCATTTTTGATTTACAACTGGACAAGGTCGACGATAAATGGGCAGAACAGCTTCCGGAATTAGACTACGCTATATTCTCAGGCGGGCATTGGTTTTTTCGTCTAATGTACCTACACGAAGGTGACAAACTTACCGGATGTGTTTACTGTAACGAACCTAATGTCACCGAATACAACAACAGCCAAGCCTTGCGCATGGCTTTTCGAGCTATATTCAAGTACATAAAGGATTGCAAAAACTGCAAGGGAGGCCTCTTGACCTTGTTGAGGACATTTGCGCCAGCACATTTTGAAGGCGGGGCTTGGAACACCGGGGGATACTGCAACCGAACAAGTCCTTTGAGCGAGAGGGAAATCGATTTAGGGACGTTTTGATTGGGAACTGAGGAGCATTCAGGTTGAGGAGTTTGAAAGAGCAAAAAAAGAAGGGGAGATGGAGGGGAGGAGGTTTAGGGTTTTGGATATAACTAGGGCAATGCTTATGAGACCGGATGGGCACCCGGGAGCTCACTGGGGAAACAAGTGGATGAAAGGTTACAACGACTGTGTGCATTGGTGCATGCCAGGCCCTGTTGATTACTGGAACCATTTTTTGATGGAGATTATCCGAAACGAGGGAGGAGGGTTTAGGGTTTAGTTAGAACTTAGTACAAACATTCATACAAATCCATACTTAATAGTTTATTATACCTATTTTTTAATTTTGTTTTTCTTCCATGGGCGTATAATAATTTTAGTTCAGAGATATAGTATGTCAAGTGAATTGCATAATATTCCGAATGTGAGATTTTTACTACCAATTTGCCAATGTACAACAGATGAAAAAGAAAAAATGTTGAAAACCATTGATCTTTTATCAATTTGAGCACAAAGTGTTCGCCATATATATAGAGGTTGTTTGGCAACGTTAAGATTGTGTCAGATATTCTTCAGACCTAGATAAATTCCCTCCATATTTCAGATTATTTTAGAATATCGCTCAAATGAAAATAAAAATTCTAAATGCTCTAGTTTAGGTATTTTAAGAGCATTTTCAACCGATAAGTCAAATTTTTATATATAGTATGTGCTTGGAATTTAAAAACGAGTCATGTTCTGGTAAGTTGTAAGTAGATTGTTGGTTGATAATGTCCAAAATTCGGGTCTTGTGCTCTGTGCTGCCTATCTGCATTAACGGTGGCTTAGATTTTGATTTCTTAGTTTTGTTGTTATATTTTTCCTGGGTAAATACCAACAATTTTTTTTTTTTTTTGTGCAAACGATATTATCTACACTAAGGGAAAGTGAATGAACTTAACCTCACAATAAATTAGCAATAATATAGTTCAAATTTGTCATTTACTGGTACTTGTTTGGCGGATGTTAGGGTATGAAGAGCAGACAAGGCATCCAAATCTCCCACAATCCATGCAATCAAAATTTAATTAATACAGAATCTGCATTGCCTGCCCCTTAATTATAATCAAGACTCTCTCTCTCTCTCTCTCTCTCTCTCTCTCTCTCTCCTCCCTCCCTCCCTCCCTCCCTCCCTCCCTCACACACACACTCTCTCTCTTTCTGAGACAGACAGACAGTCATGAGCAGATTGGCTCCTTTCTTCGCATCTCTAGCCATAGCCCACCATTTTCATCTTCTTACTTTATTCTCCAAACCCAGTTGTTCGTTTCTCTTTTAAAATTTGATTTATTTTAGAGTCAGTTTGATTACCATTTCGTTTTTAGTTTTTGTTTCCTGTGCTAGAGATGGAGCGAAAATATATGGGAGGAATGATGAAGGGAGAAGGACGTAGGGACGTGGTGGGAGAAAGGGAGGCGGGAGAGAAGTGCAGGAGTTTATATTAACACAAAAACTTGAAAGTCCAATTTTTTGGTTTTTATTTTTCATCGTCTGTTATTCCTTTTGCATTTCTTCCACCGTCATTTCTTCTCCTTCTTTGTTCCTCCTTCTATACACATTTTCTTTAGCGTAAAAACTAAAAACAAATTGGTTATCAAAAGACTTGTGATTTTCTTTCGGTGTGGTTTCAAAAGATATTGCAATTTTTGGTTTCTGTAGAAGAGGAGTGTGACCTTTTAAGGTCACTGGGTTCCAGAACTTAGAGGGCCAATCTACACCAATACAAGCTATGCCACTATTCCTGAATCAAGGAATTGTTTCAAATATGGTAGAATAGACAAGGAGATGGAAGCCGGACAACTGCAAGGTTCCATGGTTCGATCCAAAGACGTTTTTGGAAATCGTTCGTGGAAAGAAAATGGCTGTTATCGGTGACTCTGTTGCTCAGAACCATTTTGAGTCTCTGCTCTGCCTCTTGTCACAGGTCAGTTCAAACTCGGATTCTTGTGTTTTATGTGTGGTTTCTTCAATGATTTACAACATCAACTTGCAGGAGGAATCCCCTAAAGACATTTACAAGCATTTCGAAGATCACGTCACGACATGGTACTTTCCACAACATGACTTCACCCTTAGAAATTATGGTCCAAATTTCTCATTGCCGCAGAAGAGAGGATGGTTAATGGTACAGGATCCAGCACTTTCGATTTGCAACTAGACAAAGTCGACGAGAAATGGGCAGAACACCTCCCGGATTTAGACCACGCTATATTCTCAGCTGGGCATTGGTTTAACCAGGTAATGTACCTGCACGAAGGTGGCAACCTCATTGGATGCTTCTACTGCAGTGAAACTAATGTCACCGATTACAACAGTAGCCACATTGTTCACTTGGCGTTTCAAACTGCATTCAACTACATCATGGATTGCAAGAACTGCAAGGGAGGCCTCCTGACCTTGATGAGGACATTTGCACCGGCACATTTTGAGGGCGGCGTTTGGAACACCGGTGGGTACTGCAATCGAATGAGTCCTTTAAGCGAGGCAGACATTGATTTGGGACGTTCAGATTGGGAATTGAGGAGCATTCAGGTTGAGGAAATTGAAAGAGCAAGAAAAGAAGGGGAGATGCAGGGTAAGAAGTTTAGGGTTTTGGATGTAACCAGGGCCATGCTTATGAGACCGGACGGGCACCCCGGAGCTCACTGGAACAAGTGAATGGACGGTTATAAGTTATAACGATTGCGTGCATTGGTGCATGCCAGGCCCTATTGATTACTGGAACCATTTTCTGATGGAAATTATCAAAATCGAGGGAGGCGTAGTATCTTAGGGCCAATTGGCATCGTTGTAGCTTTTTAAAGTAATACTTATGACATGCTATGAGAATAATAAGTTGTAAAATAAATGTTAGTCGAATATAATCTATGCCCCGATGCTCTATCATATATACCATACTTACGTATTATGACAACCTAGAGCTATTCCTCATAGTACTATCGCTGTAACTTCCCAGCTCCAATCAACAAGTAAGCCAGAGTCTTAGTGTTTTCAACGACTAACAAGTGACATGGACAGATACTCTGGGAATGTTAGTCCTCGACAACAAAACATAACCCAGGACACAAATTTCAAATCCTTACCCGAACCCGACAGAAAATTCAAGGAAAAATATTCATAGTTGACTGATATATCACATTTTATAAACCTTCCCAAATATTCAGCAGATTTTGGGAAGCTACAGACACTCGTGCACGCAGACGGAAAGGCCAACTTCAGTCAACAGTACAGCAAAGCCCTAGAAGAACTTTTGGCTCAATCACAGAGAGAAGAGTCTGATAAGGATGATTACCACAAACCATAGCTAGATTGTTGAAGCTGATAGGTTTCAGATTTCTCTGGAACAAAAAATTGCAAACCGACACTAAAGGTTCTACGGTTAATTGGTACAGTACCAGCATTGTTTCAATACAGAGTGCACAATCGGAAAACGAAATTTTAAAACTATGCAGTGAGTTTCAAATTACTAGAGTAGAAGCCTCACAAAAGTGAGAGTAGTCTAACAGATATCTGCAGTGCACACATAGCATACACACACCTTCAGCAGATGATGGTGTTATTTTAATGAGCTAAAAAAACCATAACTAGCAAAGCAAGGTCGATAACTAACCGGCTGGGGCATAGGGTCCAAGTTATTCAAAGACACATGATCTAATCAGTCTATGGAAGATATCCTTCATAAGCCTACATCACAAAAAAACCTATAACAGCTGTATGCCCCGGTGCTCACACACAGCGTACGCACACCTTCAGCAGATGAAGGTGATATTTTATGAGCTAAAAAAAACCAAGGCTCAAGATAACTAGTAAAGCAAGGTCGATGACTAACCAGCCCGGGGCACAGGGTCCAAGTTATTCAAAGATACATGACCTAATCAGTCTATGGAAAAAATTCTTCATAAGGCTACATCAGACAAAAACCTATGACAGCTGAAACGTACGCCAGTAGAAGTTTATAACCTAAACCACTGGGGACCGGCACACTCTTGATCCAATTTACCATCTTTGATACGGTCTAAACATTAGAGCCAACATAATAAGATGTTCACTCTTTGAATCAATACTCCAATACCACGCAAGCTCGGAAATTTTTGAAACAGTCTTATGTATTTTGAAACATCATCAACATGAACAAAACACAGTATCAATCCAAGGGGAATATAAAATGAATCTATCCAATTCGAAAAACATCAAATTCAAAATCTGTAACTACACTAAGTAGTACCATAGACAGTAATCTACACTAACATCAAAAGGTAACACATATTCATTAAACAACAACTAAAACTTTAGATTAACACGTAAGCATTACTCTGAAATCTCATGCTTCCACTGTGTTACCTAGCACAAACGAGAATAGCTCGCGAACCGGCGAAAACTCCACCAATCCAATATCCATGGCATACCCTGCAACCGGCAACTTCAAGTCCCTCAACACGCAAAACGCTTCCGCCAGTCGAGTCTTGGGCACTTCCTGAGCAACAGCACAGTAAGGAAGCCAACAGTCAGTGCGATACTCCTCCCCAATTTCAACACCTTCCTTCTTCATTATCTCGCACAATTGGGACTGAAACTGCAGCAACGAAACCGATGGAGTTGGCGCCAGAAACAGGACGTTGTTGTCATTTGGGAGGCTCCCAATCGAAGAAAAGGACAAGGCCAGAGGCTCTTGCTTGGAGGCGAAGGCTCTGATCACGTTTTCGAGCTTCGCCGGTTCGACGAAGGGGCTTGAGAAGAGGGTGATGTGCGGTCGTGATTCGATTTCGATGAGCTGGGTACTAATCTGACGGCGGGCGAGCACGTTCCAAGCCTTCAAGACCTGGTTTTCGAGGGCTGGATCGAAATAAAGCTCGATTGCATAGCCCTGTGACATTGCCTTGGGATTGAAATTCGACGGAAAGCAATCGAATTGGATCGAAATCAGCACAACCCAGTTTCAGAAACTGAGATCTCAGATTGCCCAGATATCAAAAGTGAAAGATAAACTGAAATCGAAGTGACCCAGAATTGCAAGAACCAAAATTTCGAAGAAAAAATTACAGATTCAAGAAAAATATCACAAAACAAGAACTACCCAAGAGAGATTGGGGTCGAAAAAAGCCTGAGAATTGAAATCAGAAGTGGGGAACAAAAAGTGAAAGAGATGAGATTTTAAAATATGTGATATGGTGGTTTAAAGTTTCAATCAGAGAGAGACAGTGGGAATAAAGGGGCAATAAAATATCAAAGGGAAAGCTCGAAAGGGGTTTTCCGAAGAGGCTCTGTAGCAGGCTTCGATTTTTGTCTGTTCGGAAATTACAGTGATGGATAAGATAAAGTGGGAGGCAGAAGGGAGGAGGAGCCTTGCACCAACCGTTGAGGAGGAGGAGGGTGCAAGGTCACCTGTTTTTTGGTGGTTGGCTTCTTCAAGTTTATCAAGACTTCGACTCTTTCAACTCTTTCAAAAGTGAAGTCTCACAGTAGAGAGATACATTGGGAAAATTGCTTTATTAATACAAGGAAAAATATCGATTGCACACAATGAAGGAGATAAAGTAGTAAAAAAATAAGAAAATGCAAGAGTGGTGGTAAAGTAGTGCAAAAAGTGTATCTTTAGTTTTGACTTGTGAGTTCAATTCTAATGAACGATATTAAATTGTTAAAGTAATAACACAAGGTTCGAGTGAGAGATGATTAGAATTTACGATAAGATAGAATATTACAAGTACTGAGAACGTCAATGCGATACTGATCGGAAAGCCTTCAATGCTTGGGTTAGCAAATCCGCAAAGTTTTTGGCCGAGTATGTTGTGATCGTGAGAATAGTAATCCCTTTCTATAAAGGTGGAAATAGTGGAGCTTCACTCCTCTTCAACATGAGGTGTTTAGGCACTGAGTATGGTAGTGACACATGTCCGTGAATGCATGGGCCAAAGGTGGGATAACCAAAGCTTTGTATTAGCTAAGTGACAAGTCAATAATTTGCTGCCATGTGTGGAGATTCCTTAAAAAAAAAATTATCAAATTGTCAATTGATTAGCATTGGTCAGTTAGTTATCTAATGACCAATATTCAACCAGCATATTGTCACATGATATCGGTTTGATCAGCGGTTGACGGTCGTCCTACCACTTGGTGTAGCGAGGCAACCTTATTTGTATGAGGTGTTCTTGCTGATTGACAGATTGATGGGCTTTTCTATAGATCATCTTCTCATTTACCGACTCCTAACAAGTGAATTTCAAAAGGATTAGCCCAAAGAAGGGTAAAACTTACATCTTAATTAATTGAAAATGATTAAGACTCTGTACGACGATCTAATGATACTATTCTTCTCAATTTTCATGGAAAAAGGAGAAAGCCCATCTTAATTAAACCCACATGTATGAAGCCCACTTGAGCTCTAATTTTATTTGTGGGCTGAAAATAAGTTCAGGCCCAATTCTCACGTCTCCTGCCCCCTCCGTCATCTGCTACAGTATCTGATTCAAAAAAATGGAAGTCGTTGATTCTGGAACCTCTGCCTGTATATAAAAAGCCCTTATCGCAAAAGCTTCACTGCCCTCAGACCGACAATCCCGATAAACCCGTTTCTCAGTTTTCTCAAAAAAAAAAAAAAGGGCGAAAAGATAAAAAGAAAAAGAGGTCGTAAACCCAAAACCCCAGAAGCTGACGACACCGATATCGCCACCATGGACATCCAACCAAGATACCAAATCCACCGCCATAAACGACGCCGTCTCAGTCCCGACGAGCGACACCACCTCCGATCGTTATGAGTTTATTTTCTTAAGATGTTAATTATGTAGCCAATTAGAATTTAGCTGAGAAGTAGCTTGACATTGCTGATTACTTACTTAGTTTGATGGCGGAAGTTTATTAGGATCCAACTTACCACTTTACATTAATTGCCGCATCTTTGCCGTATCTGTGAGTTTTTGAAAAATTTTACGTGTCTCCGTGTCTGTATCTGTGCAACGTAGCAATTACGTATCATGTTTTGCATTTGGTTTTCCAATCATCTGATGAATGTGATATAATTTTTTTTTCCTTTTTATAGTTCGGTTCAATTGATATGCTTTGAAAAAATTGATGCTTTTCGTGAGTTATTATATTGAATACTTCTTTTCCGTTTTTTTTCTTTTGCATGATGCTTTTAGCAATGCTTACGGTGATCGATGATGAGCTCTGGGAAGGAATTTCACCTCTGGAGTTTGGAGAGTTACCCGCACTCCAAGATGCTGAGACGGTTGCGGGCTACCCTATTGAGGGTGACGCGATCTCTGTGACAAGTGGTGTTGTGTCACGTATGGAGATACTGTCTTATGTTCATGGATCGACTGAGCTTCTAGGACTGCAGGTTTTCTTTTGGGCATTGTCTTCTACGACCATACGTAGTTACCGACTTACCACTAAAACCTGATTATCGACCTGTTGTGGCTTCCTCGTTTCCTTTCTTGTAATCCTTTTGCAGATAGATGCTGCAATAAACTCTGGAAACTGAGGTGCGCCTGCCTTCAATGATAAGGGCAAATGTGTGGGTATCGCATTTCAGTCTCTTAAACATGAAGATGCTGAGGATATAGGCTGTCATACTGACACCAGTTATTAAGCACTTCATTCAAGATTATGAGAAGAACGGGCATATAATGTATGCTGGTTTGTTATAATTTGTAGTTCTCACACTACCTTCCAGCACATTCCTGGCAGTCCACTAGGGACACATGATACGATCAATATTGCATACATTTTAATGCCCTTTAGTTTAGATTCTTGTTATGTTTTTGAGTGAATTTAGTTTGTTTCACTTAGTTTTATGTTTTTCTTAGATTTGAAGAGCGAAGATGAAGAAAGAAGAAAAAGGAGCATTTTTGCGATTGAAATGAGTTTGGCACGCTAGAAGCAGAAGCTGTTTGTGCAGATCAGCCAACTTTAGGGATTAAACTGTACTTCCTCATAATGAACCAGCTGTTGAGCCTTGTACCGTTAGAAAGATATGAAAGTTATCTTTCAAAGAAATTTTACGGTTCGTGATTCCAAGTTTCCTAGAAGACGTTATAGTGATTCTTGTACCAGACGTTGGTCAGCCAAGTCTACGCGGAAATTGCAAAGTCTGTTGGGTTTTTCAAGTTATAATTCAGTCGAGGCCCAAGGCCCAAGATAGAAAATGTTGGCGATGACTTTAATCCTAGTTCAAATGGGTCTGGGGTAATTTACTTGGGAAGTTTACTTGCCACATCATTAGTTGTCCAATACAAATGAGGAAAAGATTGCAAATTAAAGACCTAAGGATGCTAGGATTTTGACGAATATATCAAGGAGATATTGTAGGAAGCTAGGGCAGGTTCTTTCGGAGGATTCTTTGCGTGTTTTTGGAGAAGTAGCAGCCACCGACCATCTTTGCTATCCATCTTCGTCGTTTGAAAGTTTTTCATGTTTTAAGTTTTTTAATTATGTTTTCGTATTCTATGAGTAACTAAACTTTTTTTTCTAGGGTTAGGATGATGCCCTAGCATGGATGTTTATGTTTTTAATGTTATTCATTGGATTTCTAGTTTCTTTCAAATGAATGCTTAATCACTCTTTGAATTGTTACTTTTTGTTTTAGTTCTCTGATTGATCACCTTAGGACTTTGCATCTAAAGATGAATTTGAGGTTGAACTAGCAATATAATTCAATTAAGGGAAATTTTATTTGAACCCATTTAACCTCTTTCTACACCCAACTTACTCTCTTCATCCATATTGTTTTTTATTAAAGAATTAATATCTCTTTAAACCCAAATTTATTACCTAAACTACCCTCTTAAACCCAATTCAAAATGTAAAATTATCTTTACACCCATTATCTTTATAAAAAAAAATTGTAGGCATTGACAACAAAAGATTTGACACGGCTGAATTTGCAATTCCTGGTGATTCTATCAAAACTCTTCACCTAAAATGCAATTGGAAAAAGGTCAAGACAATCAAATGACAATCGGTAAAGGGTTAGAGCATCAAACAACAATGCATACAACCCATTACAACAGGTTTAGTTTTAATGGGGTCAAACTCGCGTCTAGAGAATAATTTCTTGCAATGGTTAGATCTGCAAAATGCACACACTAGCTCAGTAAACCACATATGAATGAAGAAACAAAAACCAGCAATCCAAGAATTAAATTTGTATGACCACCTAACATAAAATGGATGTATGTTTGATGAGTGTGTGCATGCGCAAAACATCACATGCAAGCATTTTTTTTCAAAGAGGCGTCCTTTGCCCCTTTATAATTGCATATGCCGTATAGGACTAGCATTTTCATGGCTGCTTTTTTTCTTTCTGCTACCACAACCCATCCATGGACTTGGGATCCAAGAGATCATTCCATAGACTTGAATTTGCCAAGAGAATGTTATGCAAGCTCAAGTTCAGTCCTTTTTAAATTGAGCATTTTCATGAACTTTTTAAGAAACTTTGAAGTGACATAGGGTTAGGTGTTTTGCTGCTATATTAATAAACAAATAAACAAATTGGAGCTCTTTAGAATAAAAAAGGTGCAAGACATATGCCACCCGCTAGTTCGTGGTTAAGGTTGAGCAATCTTTATTTGCACCAAGAATCGAGTTTTATGTCTTTGCAGTACTAATCAAAAGTCCTTGCACTGGTGTTTTGGGGCGCATACAAACGACATAGAGAAATAAATACAATATAATATAAAAAGTATGAAATTTAATCCAAAGAAGAAGCAAACAAACAAAATATCCATAAATCGAGTCATACCTTAGTTGGAGGATTAAAAACTTCAAAATCACCATCCATCAATAGAAAAACTTGTTTTTCTCTATCAGAGCTATTAGGGTTTTAGTCTGAATGAACGTAGGATAAACAAAGAGTGATGCTAAGGTTTAGTTATAGTATGTGGGTCTATTGATAAATTTGATTTTTATTATTAATTTCATTTTGTACTAAATAGTAATTATGCAATAGGGTAAAATAGACAATTAATATTTAAAATTTAAGTTGGGTAGAAAGTGGTTAGATGAGTTTAAATAAAAATTCCCTTCAATTAGCTTCTTGTGGTTAAGCGTGGTAAATTACATTATTGATTGACAAAGAATAATGATTTACTTGGTTCCCTTGTTTTCTAGAGCGTAAAGAGTCCTACTTGTTAAATTTATGCCTTAACTAGGATAGACTACATGTTAGGATATACGATCTCTGCCTGAACTTGGAGAGAATCATTCACTTAAGAAAAACTATGGTCTAATGTGCCTGACAATGACTTAGATACGGGAATTATCATCTAAAGAACCGAAAGATCTGTTGAATGCATTGAAACCTAAACTAGATTGCTTGTGGTTGATTCCGAATCTCTAGACTTTTCATCGTTTGCCTTAAAACACAACATTTTCTTCTCTTTAATCTTAGTTTTAATTTAAGGTTTTGTTTTTGTTCGTTTATAA